CAGCCTCCCGAGTAGCTGGGACTACAGGCATGTGCCACCATGCCCGGCTAATTTTTTCTATATATTTTTAGTTGTCCAGCTACTTTCTTTCTATTTTTTTTTAGTAGAGATGGAGTCTTGCTCTTGCTCAGGCTGGTGTCGAACTCCTGAGTTCAAACGATCCGCCCACCTCAGCCTCCCAGAGTGCTAGGAAGGTGTGAGCCACCACACCCAGCCTGAACCAAGCTTCCTTTCTTTAATCAATTACAAATCAAAGAATCTGCCCCCACTTAGAGATGTCCTGCCTTTTTGGGCCAAACCAGTGTATATTGACTTAGGGTCACATATTGACTTAGGGTCTTATGTGTAACTCCTGTCTCCGTGAATGTATGAAACCAAACTGTAACCCACCTACCCTGGGCACATTTTCTCAGGACCTATTGAGGCCATGTGCTCCAGACTGGTTAGACACATTCAGCTCTTTAAATTATTTAAATTATTTTACAGAGTTTTGGTCTTTTTTCTGTTAACAGGGGAAAATTCAAGACAATAATTTGTAAAAGTGGGGAAAAGGCATTTGATGGTGAAATATGTACGAAGTTAATCCAAGACAAGGCCCACTGCACTAAACAGCAAGGAAAGCTCAGATGTGCTAATGAAATAAGTCAAAGTTTTCTTTGAAATTCAATGAGCTAAACTTCAATTCGTAAAAAAGGAAAGAAAAAGAAATTCTACATTGGACCTTTAAAATATGTGATGTTTTTAAGATAATCCTCTGGAGACAGCACAGAGACTGTTGGATATGCCTCTCTGAGACTCTGGGGTCTGGACAGGAGGACATAAATTTGGAAGCCATAGAGTTAAATGTGTATTTTTATATATAGGCATAAATGAGATCATCTCTCCCCATCCTCACTCTCCTTTTTATCTCTCTTGCTCCTTCTTTAATTGTTCATTTTCTACTAGCTTCGTCCCGAGTAGACAGCATACAGTAGGTTAGTATGAGTCGTGTACTGTAAAAGAGAGGGCAGAACATGAAGTTGAAAAAGAAAAATGGCACATTGTCAAGCCTTGCACTAAGCAGTTTGGATGCTGAACTTGAAGACAATGAGAAGCTACTTAATGTTTTATTAACAGGTGAGTTTCTTCTCAATGTGGTGAATGTTTTGGAACTATACCCTGATAGAAGTTTGAGGTCTTAGCTGAAGTGTGGAGAAGGCAGGTCTTAATTCTAGCTAGAAGCATATTGTGAAAATCCTAGTTAAAGTGATGAGAACATGAAAAGGAACATTGGAGGTGGTGGTGAAATGACAGTCATTATTTCTTCATTTCAACAGAAAATTCTAAGCTGTGCTCAAGTTGAAAAAATAAGTAACAGAGTGGTTAGGAAATACGATTTTTACACGATTGTTCTCTAGGTCTGTCCTCTATTTTTAAGCAGTGGAGATTCACTGACCCCTCTTTGTCAACACAAGTGACAGAGACACTCACAAGCTCCCTGCAGCCTGGCAGTGCAGTGCCACTTTGCCTCCTCTTCAGCTGCCTCTGAGTTTCTTGGGGTGACTACACTGGACAAAAAAACCACATTCTCTGTCATTTTTTACTTGCTAGAACTGAAGCTCCTGGAAACAATTAGGGCTGTGTCTAGAGTGATGTCAGTATCGGAAGGAAAGTGTCAATATCTACACAGCAGGAGGAAATGACCCTGGTAGCACCAAGCTCCTAATCTGAGTGGGAGACCTGAAAGATGGACATATATTAAATCACACAAGGACAGTGCAAACTCTCCTTTCGCGGGGTGGCGGGGGCTAAGGTAATATTCACTGGGCTGTGAGGACGAGTTCTGTCTGTGGCTTGGAGACAAGTAGCACAGTACAGGGTGCTTTGCAGTGAAACAGGCTCCAAGAACAAATTTCAATGGCCCCTGTCTGTTTTTTTATACTCTCCTCTCTTAACTAACTACTTAAACTTTTTGAGTCGTTTCCCAGAAACGGCAGAATTTTTACAAGACATAGGAGCTGAGATTCCCAAGTTCCCTGTGCAACAATTCTGATGCCAAGAATCATCATTTCCCCCATGACCTGCCCCCAGGCGTGTGGCCCCTCCTTAAAAAGCCCATGATCTCTGTTGGTCAGGGAGGCGGATTTGAGACAATTTCTCCTGTTCTCCTGACAGACATCTTTCGGATTAAAATTCCTTTCTTCCTTGGCAATCCTTGTTGTCTCAATAACTGGATCTTTGTGTGGCGAGCAATTGGATCTAGGCAGAAAGCCCCTTGTGGTTTGGATAACAGCAGTGGCCTGCTTTCAGTCCAGGTAGGTCTAGGGCAGGAACTGCAGCATCAGCTCTTATCGAGTTGGCCTTGTAGCTATGGCTCTAAAAGATCCTTATTAAAGGATTTGATTAGTTAATATGTTAAGAGTTTACTTGCATATGAAGATATGGAAATAAAGGAAAAACAGGAATTATTTAACAAATTTAAGTGTCAGGGGATTAAAATGGCAAAGTTTGGGGATAGCGAGTTTTGGGTTTTTTTCCTTGGGTAAAAAAGGCTTGGCCAGAAGGTAACCAAGAGACCAGTATGGGGAGTCTGCCTTTGAATAATCTGACTGGGAAGGCAATTGCAGTGATTATCCAAGACACATTGAGAGTTCACCTGTGGAAAATATTTGACATGCTGTGAAAGACAGGAATTGATAGTAGGAGAATGTACTTTGTTTTGTGTGGAACAAATTGTTTGAGATTAGAAAAATGTGTTCTCTTTGATTGTAATGCTATTTGCTTCTGTGACCGTGCTTGTTTTTAGTTGTTTGTTAAATGTAGTTAATCAGAAACAGGAATAAGAGCAGGAGTGACTCCATGACAGGCTGAACTTCCTGGAGTAGGCCTAAGTTTTGGTTTTCCCCGAAACGACTCCGCCGTTTTGCCGAAATGACGCTGACCACAATTGGCACCGGCGCGAAAATCCCGAGGCTTGGGGCCACTTTTAAAGGAACCAATCAGAAGCCAACACGATCAGCCACTTTTAAAGGAACCAATGAACTAAGGAGGGGAGGGGGGAAGGTGTGCCCAGCGTGTCATGTGCAACCTGTGTGTCGTGTGTAAAACAGAAAAAGGTATAAAAGCTTAACCTCTACCCCAAGGCGGGGTCCTAGCCCTTAGAAGAGGCCACTGCGTTGGTGCTCTGGGACTTGGACCCTAGCTCGAGCTGGCCAATAAACTCCTTTGCCATTTGCATCCTCGGTGACTCTGCCTCCCTGTTCCTGGGGCCGAGGGGAACCGGCTCTGACATTACACTCAACTTTCTCAGACTTTAAACACCAAACTGAAAAACTTTTTGCTCTTACTTTTTATTTAGTTTTTACTTTTAAATCAAATCTATCTATCCATACAGATTAAAAAGTTAAATAGCTCCGCAAGTATCGTGAAGAAAAATAGCACCTTCGCACCACACAATTTTCTACTCCCTGCTTTTTAGCTGATATTTTAAACCTACATTTCTCCAAATAGCATGCATATGTTGCTATTCTTGATTTTTATTTTCAGTTTGGAACATTATCTATTGACTTGCTATTATAGAAGACGAATATGAGACTCTTTTTTTACCACCACCATCTCTACATCGGCTACCATCACACATCTGAATATTTCCCAGGCCCACTCATCTTCCAAACATGGTTATATCATAATTTTGATTAGGTCAGTATAATGAGAAGCAAAAAAGAGAACATTAATTACGGGTTAAGGGCCTGAAACTGTAACCAGTTCAATGAAAGAATTTCAATGACTCCTAAATCTGTTTTTACAATGCTCTTCCTTAACTAAGTACTTGACCTTTTGAGTTTTTTCCCAGAAATAGTGGATTTTCTACAAGACAAAGGAGGTGAGATTCTGAAGGCCCCGAGGGCAGACTTCCTGATGCCAAGATTCACCATCCCTCACAACCCTCCCTCAAAGCCTGTAGTCTCCAGTTAGTTACACCATGACCTGCCCCAAGGCAAGGGGCCCCTCCTTTAAAAGCCCTTGATTTCCTTTACTTGGGGAGACATCTGAGGCAGCTTCTCCTGTTCTCTTGACGTCCTTCATATTAAAAATTCCTTTCTTCTTTGGCAATCCTCATTGTCTCAATAACTGGATCTTTGTGTGACAAGCAACAGGACCTAGGCAGAAACTCCCTTGCAGTCTTGACAACCAAACCAGGCTTTAGGGGTTAAAATTCTGGCTTTGCCCTTTAATCCCTGTACAATCTTGGCATAGTCACTTAATCATTCCGTGCTTCATTTCTCCATCTGTAAAATGATGATATGATGAAGTATTACAGTATTATGTGAGGACTAGGGGAGTTTATATACAGGTATTCACGTATTAAGAAAGCATGCATATTAATATGTAGTAATTTCTTTCATTATCTTGTAAACTACCTTCCTCTCACTCTTATTGTTATGGTAGGGAGTACGGGAAAGACCACCTTGAGGCCGAATGAGCCAAATTGTGAGTCTTTATTAGCTGGCCAGCGACTACCCTCTGTACCACCACAGACGGCTGCACAGAGAGCAGTCCAGAGCCGAAAAGGTGAGAAGACTTTATACTAATTTGGAGGGGGGCTACTTGACATTGAACATGACATAGTGGAACAAAAATAATTACATCATACATTCCATAGCCACGAGGGAGGTCTGGGACCTGCCTCAGACCACCTGCCTGGCCTCGGGGCTGATTACAATCTCTGAGCAAGCAAGGTTACAGAAGCAGATAGCATCAGTTAAGGCAGGGAGCATTCTTTCTTGGGTGAGGCAAGTACAGTAAAGTTTACTACAGACAGCTGGGGGGCTTACACAATCAGTTACAAGGTCATTGCTTACAGAGCACAGATATTTCTATTAGGGCGAGGTTTACAAAGTACAAGCTTTTTACTCTACAGACAGCAATGAGTCTTGAAACAGCGTTTTCATAATAATTTTTCGTATTTTTGAGGCCTACTACTACATTATGTTAAATCCTGTTTCCTTTATCCCGTGTCTTTTCCTTTCTTGGTTTATATCCTCATTTTTGGGGTGCTTCCTGAAAATAGGTACATGAAAAGTAAATTTTTGGAGAGTGTCTATGGTCCAAGAATGTCTTGATCTCCCCTTCCCCTTAAACAGTAGTTGAGCTTGGTATAAAATTCTAGGACGAAAATAATTTCCCTTAGAATTTTCATGGTGTAGCTCTTTAAATAAAGTCTGACCAACCTCCCTTATTGTCTGAGACTCTTAGTATTTGATTGTTGGATCTCTAATTTACATTCCCTTCCCCATTCTTATATCTCTGTCCTATTGCTTTACTTTCTAGGAAATTTCCTCAACTTTCTTTTAATACATCCACTGAATTTTTTCCTTCTCATATTTTTAATTTTTAACTTTTTTGGTCTGAATGTTCTTTGGTTGTAGCTGTTTTTATTTCATGGAAGCAATCTTTTCTCTTGTTTTTCTGAGGATATTAATGATATAATTTTTTGATGTCTTTATCTCTCTGAGTAGTCTTTTATTTTTTCTCCAAGTTTTTTTTTCATTGATTGATTGTTTCACATTAGATCTTTTCTTCAAATCCCTGGTGATTCTTGACTTCTTGCTGTCTGCTCATAGTAAAAAATGAGATGCTAAAAAAGCTCATTTCAAATTCTACACACATGAAAAAACCTTGTTAACAACGATCTTCTGCTGGGCAGGTTGTTATCTGGGCTGGTGTAGTTCTGGGAACGGCCTGGGAGGAAGAAGGTTGGGGATGCAAGGTCTCACTTAATCTTCCTGTTTTCAGTATTCCATCTTCTAACAGCCCTTTTCCCTTAGCTTTTCTAGCCCGTAGACTCTGTTTATCCTGCACAAATAATAAGTCTCCAGTCTACACAGGGATCGGGGAGAGACAATCGCATGGCTGTATTGGGCTAAGGAGGTAACTTGGCTGTGGAAATGCCTGAGCCTTTCTAAATTCCCTAATGAATAATAGGCCACTTTAGACTTTCCCTACTGCCAGATTTAGATTCCATTTCTTTTTTTTTTTTTTTTGAGACAGAGTGTCACTCTGTTGCCCAGGCTAGAGTGCTGTGGCATCAGCCTAGCTCACAGCAACCTCAAACTCCTGGGCTCAAGCGATCCTCCTGCCTCAGCCTCCCGAGTAGCTGGGACTACAGGCACGTGCCACCATGCCCAGCTAATTTTTTCTATATATTTTTAGCTGTCCAATTAATTTCTTTCTCTTTTTGGTAGAGACGGGGGTCTCGCTCTTGCCCAGGCTGGTTTCGAACTCCTGAGCTTAAACAATCCGCCCGCCTCGGCCTCCCAGAGTGCTAGGATTACAGGCGTGAGCCACCGCGCCCGGCCTAGATTCCATTTCTTAAATCTACTCTGTCAGTTACTTATCATTTGTCAGTCTTCTTTTTAAACTTCACAATTGATTTCTGTTTTCTCCACTTTCTTAATTTTTGTGAGTTTTTTACTTGTTTTTTTCTTTTCTAGTCTATCTCTATTTCCTAGGGCTGCCATAACAAAGTAGCACAAACTGGATGGTTTAAACAACAAAAACTTACTGTTTCACTGTTCTGAAGGCTGAAAGTCTGAAATTGAAGTGTCAGCAGAGTTAGGTCCTTCTGAGGGAGGATCTGTTTCATGCCCCTCTCCAAGCTTCTGGCAGCCTCAGGTGTTTTTTGGCTTGCGAATGACATTTTTCCTGTGTCTTCACACCCTCTTTCTTTTATTCATGTCTGTCTCTGTGTCCAAATTTCCCCCTTCTATGAGAACACCTGTCGTATTGGATTAGGATCCACTCTACTGACTCTTATTTTAATCATCTGCAAAGACCCTATTTCTCAAAAAGGGCATATTCACTAGTACTGGGAGTTAAGACATTAATGTCTTTTGGGGAAACCCAATTCAACCCATTACACAGTTATTTTAGTGGAGTTTCGGGAGTCAGCAAAGCTAAATATAACTTTTCCTTCTATCATCTTAATCAGAAGTCTACTCTTTGCTCCTTCGATGATGCCATGCTGCAAATTTGAGTCTTTTTTTTTTTCTTTTGAGACAGACTCTCACTCTGTCACCCTGGCTAGAGTGCAGTGGCGTCACTGTAGCTCACTGCAACCTTAAATTCCTGGGCTGAAGCAATGCAACTGCCTCAGTCTTCTGAGTAGCTGGGACTACAGGACCACACTATAGCATCAGCTAATTTTTTTATTTTTAGTGGAGATGGGGGTCTCACTCTTGCTCAGGCTGGTCTTGAACTCCTGACCTCAAGTAATCTTCCCACCTCAGCCTCCCAGAGTGCTAGGATTACAGGTGTGAGCCACTTTACCTGGCCCAAATTTGAGTGTTTATGTCATGGCCTATCTGAGGCACTGAGGATATAAAAACAATACAATACACTGTTTTGTGTGCTTTTATGAGATGGTCAGTTAGGTGAGGCCACAAGAGGAGACAGAGGACAGGCTCGGGAAAACAAAGTTTCCCATAGTCACAGGTCCTAGAGACAAGAGGCATGGCACGCCATGCAGGGCTGTGTGGGAAAGACACCAGGGTGGTCAGGAAGCAGAAGACAGGATCAAGGGGAGGTTTAGGCCAGAGCCTTCATTGGGGTTTCCACAGAAAACCCAAGGGAGGTAGGGTAAAGAGTTTAGGACTGGCTAATTTGAATAATTTCTGTGGGCTCTAAACTCTAGGGTGGTCCTTAGTTGCTTCATACCTGGCCCTGGGACGATAAAGGCAGAGGAGTGTTGCCTGCTGGGGTATAGAGGCCAGATAGAGGTGGTCTGGCTCTGGACTGGTCAGTTTACATACTGAAGGCATCCTCTTGGCTGGGCCCTTGCCATCTCTAAGAATGGGCTAGCCCTAGGAGGAACAGTCTCTTCCCAGCCAGAAATGTTTTTTAAAATGTCAAAACATAATCCACAGAAAATAAGTCTCTCTGTCTCTCTCTACACACATACAAACACACACACACACACACACACACACACACACACACACACTACATATACCATCAAATAGTATAGCCTACTGGGACAGACCATATATATCCCCCCGTAAAACAATGAGACATAATAGGCATCATATTATCTAATGAACAAAAACACATCATTATTAGGGAACTGGTGCCATTAGAACTCCCTCAAATGCTATATTTCTCTCTCTGTCTCTCTCTAGCGTATCTATTGCCTCTCTGATTGTCATTTTCTTCATCTCCCCAATCCGGTGACTGCATGAAACTGAAACAATAGCCACTGTAAGCCTCACATTCTCTGCTCTGGTTTGAACGTTTGTATTCCCCCAAAATTCATATGTTAAAATCCTACCCCCCAAGGTGGTAGTATTAGGAAGTAGGGCCTTTGGGAAGTGATTTAGTCATGAGCACAGAGCTTTCAGAAATGGATTAGTACCCTTATAAAGGAGTCCTGAGAGAGACATTCTTTCTTTACTTCTGCCGTGTGCGGTTAGGGTGAGAAGGCAGCTGTCTGTGACGAAATGGGCCCTCACTAGACGCTGCATCTGCTGGTGCCTTGATCTTGGGCTTTCCAGTATGCAGAACTGTGAGAAATGAAATTTTGTTGTTTATAAGCCACCCAATCTATGGTATTTTGTTATAGCAGGTGGAATGGACTAAGACATCATCCACACTTCATCATCAAAGAAGAGTCTTACTTTCTTTAGCTCATATGTGAGAAATTCTAAGGAAAAATTCCAACTAGTCTTGTGCAAGGCATCTGGCCTTCCAAATGGTCAAGGCCGTGAGGCTCTATGATTGCTGGGTTCCACTAGAAGAACCATGTGGTGTCAGTGTGGGCAGAGTAGTTCCCTCCAAAACCATATATATCCCCCCAAAACAGTGAGACATAATGGGCATCATGTTATCTAATGAACAAAAATACATCCTTATAAGTGCTATGACAAAGAAAAGCACACAATGCTTTGCAAGCACCTAGAAATAATATAGAACACAAACAAATGAAATGAAAAGGTTTCCTGGAAAAAGTGATGCTGGAACTAATCCCTGAATGATTTACAGGAATTAGCCAGGAAAAAAAGGAGAAAATGTTTTCACAGGAAGAGCCTTTGAGAATATCCAGTGGCCAGAAACAACAGCAATATAGGGAAAGAAGTAATTTAGCATGCCTGCAACATAGAGCGCAAAATAGGAAATGACTATATATGAGGCTAAAGAGAGAAATAGCAGCCAGATTGTAAGGAATCTATTTCTCTTCTGAGGAATTTGAATTTTCTCCCAGAGATTTCAGAAAACCCTGACTACTGAAAGATATGAAGAAGAGAAATGACACAATGAAATACGGTTTTATTACATTTATTCTGGCATCAGTGAGCTCACTCGCTCTCTTTGTCCTAGAAGTGATGAGGACAAGATTGAAGATGAATTACGAATGTGTTTGAGTAATAGCGGTGATTTTAAAGCATGTCCTGGGATTCTTCAACAATTCCCCCATCTAGAGGTAGAATCTATGTCCCCTCCCTTTGAATCTGGGCAGAACTCTGTGACTGCCTTGAGGAACAGAATGAGGCAGAAGTGTCCCTTTGAAGCTAAAATGA